ATTGCACAACATATTAAAACTAGAATTAATCGAATAGATATTCTAAGATTAATTTGTGGTCCATCTAATTCATAACCGAATAGGGTGAATTAGTCGTAAGAGATTGATGAATTTATGCTTCTTAATTTCAGAGTAACTGAATAGGGATTTGTATTAAGTTGAATATTATGCATAAATAAGGATAATTAACCTTAGAAGAATCCTACCAATTCATAGCACAAACAGGTATTAAGAGTGGTTGTTAAGCATAATTAGGGAGAAATCTGTACCCTAACTTCGTTAATATTGCAAAGTTCATTGCATTATTTATTTGTTTAATTTAGTTATTTTTAATTTGTTACTTTTATACTCTAAGATTTACTTTTACACTATAAGATTTTATTTTCTCAAATAACGTGTAAGTGGTATTAAGAGTGGTTGTCAAGCATAATTAGGGGGAATCTGCACCATAACTTCATTAATATTGCAAAGTTCATCACATTATTTATTTGTTTAATTTAATTATTTTTAATCCGTTACTTTTACACTCTAAGATTTCGTTTTCTCAAATGTGTAAATAGATTTAAGCAATTATAAATATTTGCTTTCTCAAATGTGTAAATAGATTTAAGCAATTATAAATATTTGCTTTGATATCTATAGAACGATAATCAAACTCACCACTTTATTACTTAAACACAACTAGTGTACTTGCTAAGGTTGATTTAATCGCATTAGTAATCTTTTTTCCATTAATATAATATACCCTTGTAATAAAATATTATATGATTTAAACGCTCTCTAAAGATGACATACACCGTTTTCCAATTTCCTCTAATCTTGTTTTATTCTATCATGTGTAATGGTTGCCCAATCTTGAGGTTTTTGATTCCTCTAATTTGTGCTCAATTTTGGATTTAGAAATAAGTTACAAGATTGCTTCCCAATTTGGCAATACATAAACTTGGAATGAATAAATATTTCAGCAGTAACCTCCATTAAGTTACATATATAAATGAACAAATCTTCCAAGCAGTAAACTCCATAAGTTATATCCAAAACTATGACGTTTCACTCATGGAACAACAAATTTGATTTTTCTAGTTTAGCTTTCACCACCTATAATCTGCACATTATGTGAATTCACATAGACAAACAGGACATTAAAAAGCAAGGCAAAATCATGCGGTTTCCTGATTCCCACCTCTCAAGCTTTTTAGTTGGGTGAGGCCAAAACAGCACCTCTGAATTCCGGCAGTTGTTTTGGCTAACAGTTGATTCCACATTGCTCGACATCAGGACCCGTAACTCTGGTGGTAAAGGGATCAATCCGCACCCATAATAATGAGNCATGTTCTCTAAACGATCTAATCGAGAGAGAATCGGTGTATCAGCAATAGCCATTGTTTTTTCTTGTTCTTTTCGCGGGAAACAAACAGTTACTATCACTTTCGTAGCTTCTCAAAATTTGTTTTTCTCTTTGATGTCAAAAGATTCGTGAATATGATTTGTTTTGGGTTCGGCGGGCCGAGAGGGTTCTTAAAGGAAGATAGAGATAGTCAGGAACAGTTGATTACGTAAAATATAATTGCTTTAACCACGTGTCGAGTCTCCAGGTTCTCCGCTGTGGCACAGCCTACACGTGTCATATATGTTTAATGATGCAATGCTTAGTTTATCTACTATTTCTTGACACGTTTACGAGTTCCATGCAAAGGACATCAAACCGCCACGTGTTTCTTTCATGATTGGTGTATTTCACACCTTTCTTTGGCTGATCATCTAATCTCTAAACTTTAAGGCCGTTTGGACAGGTTTTGGGTCATATAAAATAATGGCTAATTTTTGTTTATAAAATTCTTGTGTTTAGTTTATAAGTAATAAAATATTATAATAATTTTTTATTATAAATAGTATTTATTATTGATAATGAAGGTGATAATCTTATTATCTTGTTAATAAGTGTTATTAAAACATTAACGAGGTAATATAATTTTTTTACTTATTTTACCTATAATTAAAAATCATTTTGGATACAATTGTCCTCAAATGTCTACTAAATAATAATTAACCAGTCTCCCTATATTTGAGAAATTAGCTAAAACACTCTAGCCATAAAAAAGTTTAAAAGTTAATAAAATACCCCCAATGACTCAAGACCACCATCGGCTGTGACTCACCACCACCAACCGTCGGAGTCAGTTGTCATAATGGTGCACGACCGGCAGGATCTGATCAATCGTGTGCCAGTAAGGTCTTTTTGGGAAATGGCAAGATCTGGAGTTTCTGCGGCTGTTTCACAACTGCATCTTTGGTCGTGAAATGGCCATAGATCTGGCCATTTTCGGGCCACGGATTTGTGATCCATAACCATTTATGGCTTTCCCGATGCAGACCGTCTATATAAGGCCAGTCGTGTGTCATTCTGTCGACTTCTGACAATGGCTTGGAGAGGTTGGGGATGATTTTATTACAAATTAAAGTTTTATATGACTGATATGTTTTAGTAAAATTTCAAATGTTGAAGGTTAAAAGAAATAATAATAAAAAATACTATTAAATTAATATTATAAAGGAAAACAATTTAGTAATCTACATAACATATCCACCCATTTATCTTCCTAAACAAATATATTATTCACTAATTTATTTGAACCAACTAAATACATTTTTTAAATATTCAAAGTAATCTTTAAAGTGATATTTCTTTCTGCTAATATAATATACCCTTATAATAAAATATTATATGATTCAAATGCTCTCTAAAGATGATACACACCGTTTTCCAATTTCCTCTAATCTTGTTTTATTCTATCATCTGTAATGGTTGCCCAATCTTGAGGTTTTTGATTCCTCTAATTTGTGCTCAATTTTGGATTTAGAAATACGTTACAAGATTGCTTCCCAATTTGGCAATACATAAACTTGGAATGAATAAGTATTCCAGCAGTAATCTCCATTAAGTTACATATATAAATGAACAAATCTTCCAAGCAGTAATCTACATAATTTATATCAAAAACTATGACGTTTCACTCATGGAACAACAACTTTGATTTTTCTAGTTTTCACGACCCATAATCTGCACATTATATAAATTCACATAGACAAACAGGGCATTAAAAAACAAGGCAAAATCATGCGGTTTCGTGATTCCCACCTCTCAAGCTTTTTAGTTGGGTGAGGCCAAAACAGCACTTCTGAATTCCAGCAGTTGTTTTGGCTAACAGTTGATTCCACATTGCTCGACATCAGGACCCGTAACTCTGGTGGTAAAGGGATCAATCCGCACCCATAATAATGAGAAAATGGAAGCAAGGAGAATGGACCAAACCACGACAATGGTGGGTGTCCGGTTCTGGCGCCCCATCAAACCTTTGAGGAAGGGATAGAGATGGACGATCACCCAGAAGGCGAAGAATAGCTTGCCAAATAGAGGACCCCATGACTGATAACCACTGTTAATGGCATAGGAGATTCCGGCAACCACTCCCACCAAGTTTATGATGAGAAGAGTCGTCGGTGGGATAAGCAGAGTTGTCCATTTGAACATATACAGTTCAGCATAATCCCCGTCTTCATCTGATGCCTTGGAGGTGACAGTGAAGTTTGTGTCAATTCCAGCAAGTACTTTCAGAAGACCTTGGAAAACAGCAAAAAGATGGGCTGAAACACCACCAATAACCCAAAATTGTTCGTTTCTCCACCATTCATCAATTCCGACACCACTCCATCTCATCTCTAGAATACCAGTTGCAAAGATGGACAGAAAGAGTGAAATGAACCATATACTGGCAAGGTTACTGATCTGCAATAAAATAAGCCAACCAAAAGAATTAGAATATTCTAAAGATGATATTAGACACAAAGAAAAGCAATGTTTTGATATAACCAACCTGAGGAATAATAAACTTGTTAGTTAGTAGACA